AACTATGGAGGATGACTGAAGAATTCTTTTCCTGGTTAAGAAAACCCCCCTAAACCATCCTAACTCCTCCTCCAGACCTCTGGACCCTCTACTCCTCTTTCTGGGCTTCCCTCTATCTCCTCCTGTCTCCACTGACTCTGACTGGGGGTTTTCCTCTAGAGAACTGATTCTCATATTGATGAGAACTGGAACATTGGCTTTGCTTTGGATAAAAGCTTCTAAATGCAGAAACAGAAACAAATTGTCCCTATGAGCACACATACTTGGACAATGAAGCCAATTCTGACTCTGAGAACACGATAAAACTTGAGAAACCGAAAAAAATAGAAAGGTCTTAAAGGTTCGGACCATAAAAACATTCCTTGATATGAAGAAAATTACAACCTTCATTGGTGTTAAACGCTGCCTTGACTTACACAATTAGGAATCGAATAGTTTGACAGCAAAGAAGCACCTCTGAATTCTCTGAATTACCAGAGAAAAAACAAAGCTAACCACTGATTAACACCTCTGCGCTGATCCGAATTCCTCAATAAAGAAAACTAGGCGACATCAGTCAGACATTTCCCAAAACCAATCTCAGATCTATGTTGCTGAGGGATTAACTAAAAGCCGCACAAATATTCCATCAAGACCCCAGAAACAGAGCAAAGTTAGTTCGATTTGGAACAAGTGGTGCAAAACAACCCACTCGCTCTTCTCCCGAGATGGAAAAGGAGCCACCAATCCCTGCAATGGACCCCATCCTGCAAGCAGTCTGTGAAACTCATGAGCCATTCACAAGTTTTGGCCTCTTCTCACTGAGACAGAAATTGTGACAAATCCTTAGCCTACATTTGAATGTCTTTTCATGAAAAGAATGGCAAACACCCACTGGAATCTTTTTTTTCTTCCCCCAGTGACAAGCTAGCTGCTTAAGCCTAATTAGTATGTGGATTATAGAAGTGTTTCAAAAATAACATTGATTTTATTGAAATTATTTTCATGGTGACAGATGAGGCATTTGTTTATCGTGACTACATTATTACCAATAATTAAATCTTCACAAAGAAGTATAGTGCCTTGCTCCTTGTCTTTTCATAGCACTAAATGACAGAACGCACCACTAAAACAAAGACAAGCCATTTCATGGGCTAATAGCTTTTGTCACATTTGACATGAGAGAGACAAAGGCCTCTTAAAAAGAAAAAAAAGACGACAAGACTGATGCAAAATCTCTTTATTTGTTTATTTCCCTCCTCTGTCTCAGCGTGGTTCTTCTATAGCTGCTTCTGCCGGTCTTCAGTCAAACCAAGGCAGCAGTGAAAAATCACTTTAACATCGTGATCTTATGGACTGGTGCTTTGAACTGACCACGTTAAAGAAAGACTCTGATCTCCTGATTTTTTAAAAATCTAAATAGCGTTTTGTAATCTACGCATAAGGCAAGTTGAGGGAATGTGTGTATTCTACCGTAATGAATACGTGTGTACAGGTACACTAATCAAAAAGGAATACCACACTTCCAATATAAAATACTTTTTTTTCCATTTTGTAAAAGTGAGCTTACTGCCTGTAACCCGTCAATGTGTGTTATTAAACCACAATCCATTTCAACACAATATGCATCCAAGATAAGGATGCATTCCCCCATTAACATCTGATGTAGGTTCAAGTTAATTTGTTCATTTGTTGGTGTTTGTACAGATGATAATTCAAAGATCTTTATATCAGAAAATCACATAATGTACATAACATTAAAACGCAAAAATATAATCATTAAGTAATCACAATCAAAGCGAAGACTCTAGATGAAATACTTTCTGCTAAATAGATGTTTTCAGCTGGATTTAAACATCAGAGCTGAGTTCTGTCACCTCTTCAGGAAGACTGCTCCAAATTTTAGGAGCAGGAAACTGAAACTCAGCCTCTCCTGGTTTGGTTCTTACTCTGGGCCCCAGCAGGAGACCAAAACCTGAAGTTCTCAGAGTCAAGCTGGTCTATTCGGCTCTACCATAAGATGGACTTTGGACCATGAAAAAACTTGACGATAAGCAGAACTGCTTTAGAGTCTGTTCTCTGAGAGACAGGAAGTTAGAGCAGAGACCTATCATTTTTAACCTGATTTTTAGGTTCCAGAGAGTGTCTGAAGGTGACCGATGACACTTTCTCCTAGTTTCTGTGGGCCACAGACCAAGATTTCAGTTTTGTCTGCGTTTAACTGGAGAAAGCTGTTGTGCGTCCACAAACTGATCTGTTCAACACAACGACACAATAAATCTACAGGCCCCTGTTCTCCTGATGTCAGCAACACATAGATCTGAGTGTCATCTGCATAGTTGTGGTAGGACAGATTATGGATACGTATTAGCATGTAAAGATTCAACAAAAGGAGTCCCAGGATTGACCCCTGGGGAACCCCAGAGGGCCGACCCATACGGTCTGAGACACAGTTCCCAATTTCCACAATCTACTTCCTATCCTCTAGATAGGACTTGGAAGAAGAAAAGCATCTGCCACAATAGGGCGACTCTGCCTTCTTCACCAAATACACAGGCCAGCGTGAACGGAGTTTAAATCCAAAGCCAAGTCCAACAGGAAGTAATCCACTTGAAATATGGGAGAAGTAGTAAATGTGCAAGGCAAGAATGGTTGGCCAACCGGTAAAACTCAAACTGCCATACTCTGGACATTATTGTATAAACTTACAAAAGGAAAGGAAAATTAATGAGGGCCCATTTAAAAAAAAATAATAAAAAGTGAGGCACTAAATTATGAAGATTCAATTCTAATGACAAAACATGACAACAAAGGAGAAAAAACATGGAGAATTTGGACAAGCCTCAGTTGACAGACTGCAAAAGCTCTCGACTTCGACAACGCTGATGACGAAAGCATTACAATCCTGAAGGAAACCGTACAAATCTGTGAGACGTGGATCCGACACAGTAAACCGAACCACAAACCAGCAGTGAGTTTACCCAGAATGACGCGGTAGCTATGGACCAGTCTGAGCTTGAGCCAGGACTGTGATGTCTACATGGTCCACCATGCAGATTATTCAGTGAGAATGGAGGTGAGTTTAACGACGAAGACGTAACGGCTGAACATTTTAACATGAGGTTAAACCCACCCAGT